CTATCTTTATGTGTCATGTTATAAGAAGTCCTGTACCGAATTGTCTTCTGAATAACTCTTTTTGACCTGTACTTAAAATGCAGTTTTGGATCATCAATAGAAGACTTGATTCCTCTGTAATTTTTTTTCCTTTCATAATCAGCAAAAGATAATCCTTAAGCTGTGCCAAGGACTACCTCACAAAGTACTTGGTAATGAAAAATACTTTCGGTTTTGATATTTTCTGGAAAGGATACTTTTTTTTTATTATTAATTTTTAATTAAATAATTTTGGGGAGCTTCTCTCCCAATAATATAAACATACAAAACCATTACTATGTCGTAGAAATCCTAAATGGGAGATCACTATACACAAAGGAGCTAAGTGATCCACATAACAGTTAAATTGAGTAGGTGCAGTCCTGTGCTGCGCTGTGCATATGCCTTGGCTACAGGATAAGCTTTGCCAGCTAATTGTAGCAGAGGAGCCCGTAGACAGCTCCCACTTGGTACCAGTGCTCACCCCACCAGAGTGTCCCTGTCTTTAGAACTTCAGCACCACCAAGTTCTCAAGTGATCATCCTTTTTATCTGATGGTAGAAATGATTAGCAGACTTGTTTTATTTTAACAAAAACCTGTAAGAGCTAACCCTCCCACAGACTGCATCTGTACAGTGTGCTGCATCCTGACTGGAGGTCAGTTCCAATGCTGCACAACTTGGGCTTCCCAGTGTCTGAAGGGATGTAAAGTTATTTATAACCACCTCTTTTTCCCTGTAGCATTAGCTCCAACAAATGGCAATGATACTTTATGAAGTCTAAGTGTCTTGCTTAGTGGAAGCATAATGAACCAGCACCCCTGGTGCAAAGCGTATACGCATCAGAAGTTTACTTCTGGTTATTCGTAAACAATCTTTGAAAATTCTCTAAGTATTTCACTCTTCTGTGGCACATAAAGTTGCAGTTTGATAAAATTCTCTTGTGTGTTGGCTGACTTAGTTTATGAAAGCAAGTACTTAGAAAATAGTCTTTTCTCAAATGGATTTTTATTTGAGATTACAATTTGATATATTTACTTTGTATTAATATGGGATTCCATCTGAATGCACTTCCTATTTAATGATTTGCCCCATGGTTATTTTTTTTCTTCTTTTTGATTGGTGAATAGTTTATCTCTTAAATTTAGTCTGAAGTAGAATATTTACAGCACTGTAGAACAAATGTATAAGTCTCTAACTAATCTATTTGGTGTAAATGAGGAGTTCCATAACCCAATTTATACCTGTAGCTGATAATAGCTACTTATTTGCAAATTTGATTTAACTGTACTTCTTGGGGGACCAATTAATATTACTTCAGCTGATGTTGATAAATCGTGATATAACATTAGCAGCAGCATCTCTACCTACTTTTTCCCTGTCACTAATTAAAATTTTGCAATCACACTTAATATCAAACAAAAGTAGGTGAGTGAAGGCAATTGAGGAGGTATAAACGCAAGTAAAATAAGTGCTAGTAAAAGAAAGCCATTTTGAAGATTCATAGTGTCTTCCAGCACTATATGGAATGGTTACCACTGTTTCAGTTTAAGAATTATTTTTCCATTTTGAATGTTTTTTGAGTTTGTGGCTTGGGTTTTGGACAGTAACTTGCTTGAATACATCAGCCTGGCTGACGTCTGAAGGTACTGAGGAGTGAATAAGATTACCTTAAGAAATTTAGTAATCTTCAATATACAACAGCCTACTTTCTTTTAGTCAGTGTGGTTTTGATAGTTGTTGTTCACAGGGTATATAGCATACCCGAAAATGCTGTCGCAAGTTTAATGCCCTTAGTAACACTGGTTGAATTGTTACATCTATAGCGTAGTGTCATCTAATTTGTGAGAGTGAAAGATTTGGCATTCTTGACCACGAAACAAGGCCATTGTATTCCAAATGCTTAAAGAATCTATCGTTTTCTCTTTCTTGAACTTTCATTTAGTTTAAGGGACTCTTTCTGTAAATATAGAGACATTTAAAAGATACACGATTTGTGCCCCTACTTTCATGTTTGATCTTGTAAAATGAAGCTCTTAAGGACAGCCTTGAAATAAAGGTCTGAAATGTGTAAGCTGGTGAAACATTTCATGCTTCTATTCTTTTAAATAATTTCTGTGTCAAGTACTGCTGTATCCAAATTCTTCTTTTGCTGATGAAATGCCTGTTCTAAACATCATTATATTACTATCATAACAGTTCAGTGTTACAAACTTAAAAATCTTTTTTAAGGAAAATAACATTTCTTTGTATTATAACATAAATATGTTTATATGTTTATAATATGTAGGAGATTTTTGATCATTTCAGATTCTGTAGCATATCAGTTTTTCAACTTAGGAAGCTTCAGACTTGGTAAACAATACACTCTCTGGATGTATAGTGAGATAAAAGCTATATAATTTGTCCTATGTGAGAAAGCATGATCCCAGTCTACCTGAAAACCTTGTGGGTGACTGAAGTCCAAAGTGTTTGCTAAATTTGGGAGCTTGGACCTGAGACAGTGATGAAGACAAAATTAACTAGTAGGTATTTTTGCAATAGAAGCTGGAGGAAACTACAAATAATACAACAGAAAAGGCATGACTCGGTACTTGAATATTTGTGACCAGATTGCTCTCCTTAAAAAAGGATCAGCTTTTGTGTGTTCATACTTCACAAAGTGTATATTATCTGGAGAGCAAAGTACCGGTAGTTGGGTATAGACAGGGATTTGAAACATTTAGTTGTTGGTGTGTCAGTAACTTTTTTTTAGAGAGCTGAAAGTTTTCAAATGACTGTATTCTTCCTAAGGTTTATTATGACGCTTAAGAACAGAAGTCTGTTGTTTAAATACTAGGTTAAATATTTAAGATAAGGAATGCTTCAAATAAGAAATACTAATAAATAAACTTTATTTACTTTCTTAATTACCAGTTTTATTTTAAATAAAATAAATATATAAAAACATTAGAAATATAAAAAGTAATCTAACCTTGTGAGGCATAGGCCTTTACAATACAAGACTTGAGCTGTTAGCTTTCATTTATATTGCTGTTGTGACAAACAATTTAATAATACTTAAAGAAAATCAATAACCTTTTCCTTATTATGTGCTTAAATACTGCAACTTTAAAGGATTCATGCATATTTTCAGTAGCCATATGAGATTTATACCTATATAAATAATTAACATGTTTAGGAATCTAATCTGTGAGGTTAGGTTTAGGTTACCTGCTTTCCTGCTTTCACAGTATTCATTGTGATGAATATTCTTCCATGCTGTATCAGAGTGTATGAATGGTAGTTACAATATTCTAGGTGAGATTTGTCATGTTTTCAGCAATGGCTGAAAAGAGAATTATGCCTGGGAAATTCTACATGTGAATGGATGTTTCCTTTTTGTGCCTTTTCCTCTACTCTATCTAGAATAAAATCAGGCGTCTCAGGGAAGAGAGAGTCTAATTCATCTTCCTCTGTTTTTTAATCAGGTGAAGTACCACCAATGAGATGGATAGTAAATTTTGACCGAGATCTTCTAGATGGTCTGGTATTGGCAACACAGCTGGCAGCTTATTGTCCATATTTGGTAAGGACTTTTCTTAATATTGTGTAAATCTTACACAGTTTATTAGTATAAGTGGGTTTATTCAGGTCTTGTTTTCCTTTGGAATGGTTGGCTTATGTGGTTTTTAAAAAGAAAAAAAACCCCTAAGATTCAGCAAGTCTAGAGTTATTATTTCAGTATTCATTTTACTTTTCTCTGGGTATATTCATAATAGGGAATTTTAGTTAAAAATTTTGATTTTATGTATTGTTGAAAGAGTGAAAATACAAACATAGTAATTTTGCTTAGTGGAAGATCAAGAGTTTGATTTCTCTGTCTTCTGTAGGTTGCTACTCACTTTGTAAGGATGTACACTAATCCAAAAACTCCTGAGCAGTTTCTGCACAACTGTCTGATACTTGTGAATGCTATGCATGCTGTCAGTCTGGCTATAGACATAAAGGTAAATGATTTTATACTGGCGGTTCTTACGTACTTTTAAATTTTTATATATTTTTTTTAATTTTATGATAGTAATATTGTACATCAAATTAAGGTGTGATTTCAGTGGAGCAGTTTTGTTTCATGATGTGCTACTGTATGATGGAAATCAAAATACTACTTTGTATAAATATGTTTAATTACAAGTGATTTCTGTAATTCCTTGCTTTGTAGTATCACATATATGCAACTAGCTGAACGGAAGTTTAATTCAGTTCAGATTCTGGCATCATAAATCACACAATGAAAACCTGAGTGGAATTTATTAACATTCAAAGGCAATTTAGAAAAAAGATTAAGAACAAGCATGATGCACTTAACTTTTTTACCACTCGTTTTTATGTTTATATGAGTGTCTGCTGACACTTATGTGCACCTATATAATCACAAAGACCCATGAGGGTTCTGTCCCAGGTTGGATGCACACAGAAGTTGGTAGCTTTGAACTGCTGGTGAGTAAGACTGTAAGCCATCAGCTTCTGACATCCTTTTTAGGGAGGAATATGATATTGTTGATGTTAGTTTCTTGTTCAACCTAGGATCCACTTTGGATCATTTTTATATGTTTAGTAACATGCTTCACATCTTTGTCTATATTCATTGGCCTACAGTTCCAAATTCATAGAATCATTGAATCATAGCATGGTTTGGGTTGGAAGGGACCTCATGGACCATCCAGTTCCAACCCCCACTGCCCTGGGCAGGGACACCTTCCACTAGACCAGGTTGCTTAAAGCCCCATCCAACCTGTCTCTGAACACTTGCAAGGAGGGGACATCCACCTGTCCCTGGCCCTCCCCAGCCTCATAGGAAAGAAATTCTTATATCTAGTCTAAATCTACCCTCTTTCAACTTGAAGCCATTACCCTTTGTCCTATCATTACATGCCCTTGTAAAAGGTCCCTCCCCGTCTTTCTTGCAGGCCCCCTTCAGGTACTGAAAGGCTCCAATAAGGTCTCCCCTCAGCCTTCTCTTCTCCAGGCTGAACAACCCCAACTCTCTCAGCCTTTCCTCACAGGAGAGGTGCTCCATTCCTCTCATCATTTTTTGGCCCTCCTCTGGACCCGCTCCAACAGGTCCATGTCTTTCTTGCGCTGGGCACCCCAGAGCATATTTGGTCTGCAATGGGTAGCACTTTGAATCACTTTAAAAATCTAAGATTCTCTGATAATAAAGAAGGTTAACTGTCTGGAAGACTTCAGCTGCAAGTTTAAATAACGGAGTTCAAGGCTTTTAAATCTTTTAAAGCTTAAGATATAGGCTTAAGGTGGAGTAATTTGGGTAAGAAATTATTTATTTCCACTTTCTAATTATTACTGACAGTTCAACCCTGGACTATTAATAGTGTCTTTCTATGTATTTTTTCATTGTGTTTGGTATTTATCACTTCTATAATGCTTTGATTTGAAGAAGATCCAGTTGAAAGCCCAAAATAAAATATTGCAAGATAGGATGGTGGATGACAGCGATATAGAGAGAACGTACGTGACAAGGATAGATTAGGAGAGAAGATGCAGTGATTGGGAATAGCCGATACAGGAACTCAATTTACTACTGACCAATTTAAAATTCTGGCCAACAATACTGACATTTATGTTTAGGACCAAGTAAGTGGGAAGATATTTTCAAACAAGCTATTGAAGATGATGTGAGTAAGGTTAGGGAGTGTTAAGAAGCTGAAAATGAATGTGGCTGTTCTGTTGAAATGAAGGAAGGAATTAATCATTGTTGTGGAGTAGAAAGCAGTGGAACGGGGCAATGACATGGCCAGATGAGTGAGGAAGGGGAGTAAATGTGAGTCTGAAATGAAGGAAGGAAGCTGCTGTCAGCAGCCGATAAAGTGGAAAGAAATGCAGCAACATAGAATTTTTTGAATTTCCAGTAAATGTACTTTTTCCTTGAGGTAGTTTACAGATTATTGTATACACTTAGAAAGGTAACTTCCTGGCTGTCACTTAATGTGTCAGCCATACTTATATTGTGATCATCTCTAAAGATTATTATCTCTAGATAATAGATTTAGAAGGTCATCTCTAAAGATGATTAACACTTTTTTTGTCTTCAGTTGTCTGTACTTTAGTAAGGAGCTATTAGCTTGGTAAATACAGCAACTTTTTGACAAAAGTAACATTAAGGAAAAGGATTTCTTTCTGAAGTATTACTTATTTGACTAAAATTTGTATGATACTGCAAATACACAGGTAGAACTCTGTCTGTCTATCCACCAATCTGTAATATAAATGCAAATACCTTGGTTTGCCTGAGATAGGAATCTAATGTTGATGTGTGGTCTTAAATTCAGAATATAGAAGAGAGAAAAAATTAATAATCACAGAATTACAGAATGTTAGGGGTTGGAAGGGGCCTCTGTGGGTCATCTAGTCCAACCCCCCTGCCGGAGCAGGGTCACATAGAGCAGGCTGCAGAAGACCTTGTCTAGGCGGGGCTTGAAAATCTCCAGAGAAGGGGACTCCACAACCTCCCTGGGCAGCCTGTTCCAGTGCTCCATCACCCTCAGAGTGAAGAAGTTCTTCCTCATGTTCAGACAGAACTCCTCAGCTTCAGTTTGTGCCTGTTGCCTCTTGTCCTGTCACTGGGCACCACTGAAGAGTCTGGCCCCGTCCTCCAGACACCCACCCTTAACATATTTATAGGTGTTTGGAAGATCCCCTCTCAGTCTCCTTTTCTTCAGACTAAACAAGCTCAGCTCCCTCAATAATAATGATATTTCTCCCTCCAGCAATACTAAAGACCCCTGCTTTAGTAATATACAGGCCATTGAAAACATGGAGAGTTGGTTATGGAATTAACAGCAAAGAGCTGATAATAGAGTTATAACTGTTTAAATAACTTTGTTTTCACAACAGAACCAGCCTACTAGCCCCTGAGTTTCTTGTGCAGTTTTGCTGTAGTCCTAACTTGGAATATTTAGAATGTGAAGTACAATAATTTATCCAGTTTGTCAGCCTAGTTTTGTTTAACTAGGCTACATTAGAGCACAAATAAAAAGCTAACAAGCGAGCACTCAGCTCTTCCAGAAAAGTGAGAAGCTTTTTCATATTTTGACAAACTTTGTTATGGATAGAATTTAAGGCATAAATCTGTTGAACTTTACTAATTGGTGTTGTTTGCTAACATGGAATTTTTTTAGAGCAAATAGTATATATATAGACTGTGAATTCTCTGATTAACGTTGTTATGAAGCACACTGATTTTTATTTTTTTTTAAATTAGTTCCTAGAGTAGTAGATTAATGTCACAAACGCAGTTTTATGAATTCAACATGGGATAAAATGGAATAATGTTTTCTGAGGGAACAAGTTCTGATCTAAGGGAACAAGTTCTGATCTAAGTGGAAATGAGGAGGTGGCAAAAGAAAGTTAGGCTTAACAGATAATCTATTCTGGCATCTTTGCTCCCTTAAAAGAAAATTCAGGAAAGATGAACCGTAGAGGTGTAGAACCACAGTTATGTTGGAATAACTTCTACAAATGTGTGTTAACATTCAATAGCCATTACTGAGAAAGTGAATGGAAAACATCATAATACTTTTCAGACTCCAGCTTTAAAGGTTTTGACAAGGAAGAAGCTTTTATACTTTGCATAGTAAGTGCATCCTAAAAATCCAACCTTAAAAACCAGTGGTGACTGATAGAAATAAGTAGAAATACAAGATGAGGCATATGTTTACATCAGTGCATGAAGAGTATATGAAATGAATCTTAAGAATTACGATGATAAGCATTATATAGGAAACTACGGAGAGTGACAGGGAAACATCAGATCAGTGCCTGGTGGAGTACTCGCTCCCTTGGAAGGTTAGAGAAGGAGCTGTGCTGGAACTGCTGGGAGAACGATGCAGTGCTTGGCTGGGCACAGGGCAAGAAAGGAGGGAGGAAGCAGTCAGTAACTCTTCCTGCCTTTGTGCTCCGTGGAGATGATGGATTTGCCACCAGGGTGGCTCCAGATCTGCCTTTTCTATGGAATCTTCTACCTGTCTCTAACTTAATAAAACAGAAGACAAATTAAGAAAATTTGGAGGTTACCTAGTGAGATGCAATACAGGATGAGTTTAATAAGTATGTAGGTAAAAATGTGGTAAGGCTCATCTGTTCTAATATATCTTGACAGATTTCTCCTTCCTGTTGTACCAAACAAAACAAAAATTCATATTCCTTATAGTACAAAGCATACAGAGCACATTCATGCAGGACTACAGGCATTTAATTTGCAGGACTACAGGCGTTTATTCTAACTAGGGCTGATCTGTAGTCAGTAATAAGTCTGTGAAGCTTTCACTAAGTAAGTCATCTTTGCTTAAATAATGTTTACCCTTTGGGAAAGGGCTGTATCCCTTCTTTGCTTTTAGTCCGTGAGCCAAGCCTTGCCATCTTTTCCAGTATTCAGATTCTCTCTTTTTTTTCTCTCCCCACCCTGCCATATAATGCTTTAGGGTGTGGAGAAGGAGAGGTTCCTCTTCCTAAGGCAGACATTAGGAGTCTATTCAGGGATGCAGCTTCTTGTGGTTTCTTTGCAAACAAGGAGACGGAGCCTTGCTAAAAATATGATTTTCTGAAATGTCTATCGTAGAGTCATCAAATGATATAGGATGATTTCCGGCTTAACTACTGTCAAGGCCCTGCAGGCACCCCCAGCCCTGCCTGCCCAGCCCCCTGGGGCTCTCCCCACCCTGCCCAGGGCCCCTTGTCAGCCCCTCCCCTGGTGACGCTGCAGCAGGGCCAGTCTTCAGCACCCCACAGCCCTGCCCCTGCCCGGTCATGGGCCCTGCCAAGCCAGGCGTGCCATAGGGCCCTCATCGCAACCTTGGCCTGTCCTGGTCCCCCAGGACATGCCCAATTTCACTGGCCTTTCTGGGTTTGTTTTCTTTTACTGAATTTAGGATTCTTACATACAAGACATGGACCATCTCGTTATAGCATAGCGCCTTGTGGGCTGAAGAAG